AGAGAGAGAGAGGGAAGGAGGGGACGGGAAGTCATGATTGGAAGCCAGGTTTCTTTTGAAGATCAGGAAAGACTTCCTAACGGTTAGATCAGTACGACGATGGAACCCATGACCTACGGAGGTGGTGAGCGCTCCCAACACCAGAGGCATTAAAAAGAAAATTGGACTGCCACCTGGCAGATCTGCTTGGTTTTGCATTCCTGCCTTGAGCAGGGGGTCGGAATTGATGGCCTTAGAGAGGCCTCTTCCAACTTCACCATTCTGTGATTGTGCTGACACTGCAAACAGGGTTTCAGCCACTCCGTGGACTGGATGCCTTTTTCTTCCTCTTGTGTATTTCGTTGTTACCATGTTTCCCAAGAACTAAGCAGAGGCAGACCTTAGTTAACGGCTGTCTGGAAGTTCTGTTCGTTTAGTTTCAGGACACAACTTGGTGGGCTGGAAAGTGCCGCTCGGGTTCTCTCTCAGAAGCAAAAGCTGCTGTACCAGATGGGAGGCACTCCCTCCCCCTGGGCCATATCTGGCCTGCTTGGGGGGGGGGGAATGACAGAGATTTTGTGTTTCCGCCTTAGGTGGAGGGTGGCGGGCTTCTGGTCCCCAGTTGGAATCAACGGTCAGGAGCTCCTTGAAAGGGATCCTGTGAGACACAAGGCCAGAGATTTGGATCACCCCTCCCTGTTCTTCCCTGCCCCCATCAGATGCAGCACGTTTCATGGATATGTTGGTGTGGTCAGGTTGCTTTCCCAGGTAGGGAAAAGGCTTTGGTGCTTAGTATGTCACCTGGACCGGTTCCCTTGGGATCTGCCGTTCCCGTGTCCTGCCTCTTTGTAAGGCTCATGATATCCCTACATAGGGAGTCTTTGTGGACGTCCACCATGGCTATCCTATCAAATGAATTTTTTTTCCTTTTGTGATCTTTCTGGAACATCGGTAGCGTGCTGAAGGCTCCCTGCAACTCTGGGTCAGCCCGTTTGCTGCTTCCTTCTTGTGGGGCTTGTTGTTTTACAGAGACGGGATAAAATTATTTCTGTGGCGCTTCCTGGCCTGAAGGGTGCTTCACGGACGTGTGCGAGTGCCTCTCGTGTAATGGCTGTCTGGGGAGAGTATTTTTCAAACCTGAAGTGTGTGTGCTCCAGCGCTCAGAACTAGGCTAGACGCTTCCCTCAAAGGGAATACAAATTGGCCTGGCGTCATTGCTGTTCTGAGACTTGCGTCATTTTGCTGCCAGAAAGGAAGGAGGAATTTTTTCCTCTATGTCCATTTGCTTGCTCTCACTTCGGTGTCACGTCTTCGAAATGTTAAGCAGCATTTAACAGGATGCAGTGGCCATTTCAGCCTCCCTTTATAAGGCAAGGTGTGCAGGTAGTTTGTTACAAGTTTATTTAGTTGCTTCTCATTTCAGTGTATATCTGTTTGTGCTAGGGACAATGGGGTGTGTGTGTGTGAGAGAGAGAGGGAGGGAGGGAGGGAGAAAGAAATAATACTGACTCCCCCCCCTTTAAATCCGTGGACACCTTCAGAGGTCACACCAAAGTGCTACACCGGTGGTTCCTATGCATGGGGTGGTCCGTCAGAGGCTACGAGTTACAAAGAACAGGAGCTGCTTTCAGGGTCAGACGCAGGCTCTGATCCTGCCAGTACAGTTTGTGGAGACCGAGATAATCCGGTCAGCCCCTGAGCGAAGCCGGGTGCTGCTGGGCCAGATCGGCCTTAGAGTGACACGAGGCTTGCTATGTTCTCCCGTAGGAGGGTTTTTGAAGTATGTGAGGGCCTCACCATTGCCTCCCCTCCAGTGAATTTACACAGCCAAATGGGAATTTGAAACTGTGTCCTACTCCAGCGCTCTCACCCACTACACCAGAGGTCCCCAACCCCCAGTCCATGGCCTGGGGCCAGTCTGTGGCCTGAGCTGGATTGGGCCGCGAAGAGAGGCCTCCCCCCGCACACACTCCCCCCCCCACAGCCCGTTTACACCTGAGCATGCACGCTTCTTCGCGCATGCGCATGAGCATGAGCACAGGAGGTTGCCCCGCCTTCCCCAGCCAATGCATGGGGCTAAAAAGTTGGTCTCGCAGCCCTATACAGAAAGCTCCCTCAGACAGGAGATTTGCTGCTAATATGTGATGTGCTTTGGATCCTAGCCTAAGTCTAGAGAAACATGTCTGTATGCGTATTTAAAGAGGAAAAGGGGGTGAAATTGAATCAGATGTACGCTACACTGACTGTATGCTGTTTGTTTTCTAATAGCATTCACGTAATTGAACGCCGTGCTCTTCCGGAATTCTTCAATGGGAAAAACAAATCTAAGACGCCAGAAATGTAAGTAAAAGTAGGAAGAAGAAGAAAAAAAAACCCAGGCATATGGGGTGCTGCTCACTTTGCTTTTTACAGGTTCCTTTCAGTGCCATCGACTGGCCTGAGGCTGCTGTGTTGGAGGTAGAGACGCAGTGCTGTGCGTTCATTCCTGTGCACTCGTTTGGGGGCATGGCCTATGCCTGCTCCCTCCCTCCTGCCTCCCCTTGAAACGTCTTCCTCTTCCCTGATGGGAATTCGGTCTGCTCTGGTATCGCCACTCGCGTCTCGTGAGCTCGGAGCAGAATCCTCAGGCTTGGCTCAGAGTGTGACTGCACAAGCTAGCCGGCCTCTGCTGCCGATGGGACCCGTTCTCCGCTGACAGGTTGCGTCCAAAGATTGGAGGAGGGAGAGTGGCGGGTCAGAAAGTCTGATGCCCAAACAGGTTCCCAAGATCCCAATAGACTTTCTTTTTAGCCTTAAAAAAAAACTGGTTTGGGTACCTGCCCATCCTAGGGTGTGATTACTGTATTCAGGCACGGGTCAGTGCTCATCATGTCCATTTGCCCTCCTGCGTGTCTGACCTCTGCCAGAACAGTGCCTGATGTGTGTGTTAAAAAATTCCCCCCACGCCACCCACCCCGCTGTGGCGGCGTGATGTTGTCCCTACTGCTGAATATCCCGCTTTCACCGTCCCTCGGATGGCTGTCAGTTGCCGTGGTTGCTGTTGCTTTAAAGCTCGGACGCCTCTTGTCTGCTACGCAGCAGAAGGCAGCCTGGTGGGCCTGCCCAGCCGTTAATGTTGCAGAATGTCAGTGAGCATGCATGGCGTATCTTCTCGGACATGCGAGACAGCCCTTGGCAGTGAAGCTGCCTGGTGATGAACTTCTTGCATTCTTCCTCTGTGGTCCTTTTGTGGTCTGGAAGAAAAGCCAAGTTCACGAGCAACGCTTGGGAGGCTTTGTTCAGTTCTTTGCCGTTTGCTGTTTTTCAAAACAGCGAGCCTTGCTGCTTTCAAGCCGCGAACTAAACTGAAAGAATTGAAAAACGAGAGACGACAACCGAGGCAGGTTTTTGTTGTGCTGTCCCATACACTTTGTGATGGCAGAATCAGACGCAGTGCCCCAAGGAAGGGAAAGGGTCGCTCAGCTTGGCTCACACGCAGCATTGAACCTTGCCTAGATGGTGTAATGAGAAAAATCTCACCGCTCGATTATGCAGCTGGGCGTGCGCTAGTGCAATTGGATTTCTTATTTTTTCTGTGGAAGTCAGAAGTCATTTTATAGTTCAGAATTAACACTTGTCAGTGGTTCTATGCAAGGCCCTTCTAGCAAGGCAGCAGAAGCTCTGGAACCTTGTGATCCTGAGGGCCACCCATTCTTTGTTGCTTCTGAGCAGTTGTCAAGAGCCAGCCTTGCACGGAGTGTGTTTCCATGGTCAGATCCCAAATTTATAGAAGTGTTAATTGTTATTGCTAGAAGAAGCCTGAAGGAAACTCCGTTGTTCAGTCTCAGAAATATTATCAGCAAGCATCTATAAAACGCCAGGGCCCTTGTTCTTTCAGTATGCTGCCCTTTTGAGGGGAGATTAAACTGTTTTTAGCTGCCAAGGGAAGCGGTGGGCTGAAACCAGTAGGGTGAGCCATAGTCTTCTTTCCTCTTTGGCAAATGGGAAGGAGGCAGACAGCTCCAGGGGCCCTCTGCCTCTTGGACGGGGCCGTCATGGTCGTCTTCCTTGTTTTTGGAAACAAATGGGACTTTATTGTCCTCTCCTCGTGGCCTTGGCTGAACTCAAGGTTAACGAGAGTCGGCATGCTTGTTATCCCAACGTGGCTTGCAGAAGTACAAACAACCCTGGTTTGTGCCAGCAGCATCGTCACTGTCACAGGTTAGAGGAGGCTCTGTAGCATCCTCTTCCCCTTGTTGTTCAGCCGCCACAGATTCCCCATTAATGCATGGCTGAGAGCCCCCCCCCTCTCTTTTTTTTTAAGAGGGGAGCAGAGAATAAAATATTCTCCTACACCAGCCGGGCATTATTGATTTGGAAAGCGGGCCAGATTCTCCATACTCTTGCCCAACCACTAAAGGCTCAGTCTGAGCAAGAAGGGGAATCTTTGAGGGTTTGCTTAAAAGGATCCTCCTGGGACATAAGCGTAAACATAACTGAACGCATTTTAAAATGTTAATAGTATTTCATTGTCAGATCGCAGAACATCTAAGAAGGCATCAAGGGTTTTGCTTTGAGGGCTACACATCTGGAGAAAAGTGGTATATGACTGTGATTGTGAGTTTACTTTCAACTTCTGGGTGTGTATGTGTTGTCGTTGTTTTTAACAGTCCCTCTTCAGTAATGATGAGCACCAGAGGTTTTTGTTAATAAAAGGGAGTGATCGTGATTCTTTCTTGTTAGGCAAGAACCGGGCAGCGGCAGGAGGACAGGACCAGAGGGATCTTCTTCTGCCCTGCAGATTCTGAGAATTTGCACAGTGTGATGGACAGAGGGGTGGAATCAGGGCTCAGGAGACCGGGTTCCAAGTCCTTGCTCTCTCTGGAGTGGTGGTGGAAGTGGCCAGCTGCTCCGTAGACGTCCACTGTACTCAAAGACCTTGTGTTAAACATACTTTTAAGTCACCAGCTGCCTGATAACACAGACCAGCCAAAAGGTCTTAATTCTACTTGCAGCTGACCCCTTTCTCTCTGCCTGGTCGTCCTGAAAACAGCATGTAAGAGGCCCCTGGCCGCTGTCCTTCCAGCGTCAGATTCCCTTCCCAACTTGGGGCTTTGTTGCCTAGCCTGAGCATCCAGGTAGGAGAGAGTATTGTGTCTGAGGCTATAGACTCTGTATTGGCCAGGAGACTGTTTAAATCCTGAAACGGGAAGCAGGAAGAGCATTTGGAGAGGAGCATGCCTGGAGGTTTTGCTCCTAGTCATCCGGCTCAGTTCCAAAGTCTGCCGTATTCGAGCAGGAGGCGGCCCTGGAGGCACCAAGGAATGTAGTGAGTGGAAGAATTTGCCTTGGTTTTGCCTTTGGTTTGTTTGTTGTTGTCCACACACACCCTTGGCTGTTCGTACCACCACCACCACCTCCTTTGGCTAGAATAAGAAGCATTTCCGGTGAATGGAGCCAAAGTTCAGGCTTTGGAGCTGAATGCAGCCTCCTCAAATTCCAGGCGGGTTGATCTCCTTGATCTTCATCTTCGGGTGGCCCTGGCCCCTTCCCCGTGGTGCCCGGGATTTTCCAGGCGTGGTGTGGAATGTTGATTCTGAAGCTGAAATGTCTCTCCTAAGACTTCATTACAGCTCCTAAGAGGAAAACGTTTCCGTTTTGTCTGACCCGTCACTAGAATGCCTCCCTGCTTCCAAGAACAGAGTCTAAAATACACTTGGTTAGAGAGAGATGAGTCACTCCATGGGAAGGTTGCTTGTCGCATTCCATGTCTTGTACCTGACGTGCCATCTATCTGTCAGGTCACTTTCCAATTTGAACTGTAGCCCTCAAGGAGCTCTGTGTGTGAAGTGGTTTACATGACCCAACCAAGGATTTGAACTCAGGCCTTCTGAGTTCTGCTTCAACACTATTCTGTACACCACACTAGCTCATTTTATGTCCTCCGTGAAGGAAGGAGCTAAATCAGCCGCATCAACAGCCTCAGGATTCTCTCTCTCTCTCCTCCCCCCCCCCAATTTCTTCTCCTGGCAGCTGGAATTTCTTTCTCTTCTGTACAGTTTTGTTCATCCTCTTTTTCTCAATAAAAATGCAGCTCCTCCCCCTTCCCTTCCGTTGTTTCTTCTGTCTGGGTGGTGGTCAGGCATGGAAGGTTGTAAAAGGAAGATGTGTGATGTCTTTATCCTGCCTTTCCATGCACACACACACCACCCCCCAGTGTTACTTTGCAAGGCAGCACTGAACCCAAATCCAGACTTTTTCTGATAGAGTAAGGTATCTGAATGTGCCTGCTGAATTTTTTATTAGGAAGGACACCCAGGGAGATGACAAGAAAGCGTCATGGCTCCGTGTTGTAGATTGTAACCCTTAATTTCCCTTTATTTTCTGTTAACCATCCACAGCTATTTGAGCCTAGCGGCTGTTTTCCTTTCTCATACCTAAGTGGCCAGTTGAGAAAAGGTCCTGCAGAAATCCCGAAATGGATCTTGTCATTTCTTCCTTGTGGTCTGTCTCTCGTACAAATAGGTATGGTGGAGTCTTGTTTCCTAGAGCGACCACCCAGGTGCCTCTGAGAAGCTCCCAAGCCGGAGAGGAAAGCAGTCATGGCTCCCGAGAGACATAAATCCACGAACAAGCTACTTAACTCCTGTTAAAAAGTTGCTAATACCTCCTTTACAAGGTTTCACAGTTATCAACTGTGTAGGGTGTGAACGGTTTCACAAAATCGCTGCCTTAGTTATTGAATAGCACCCGTCATGTGATTTATGGCGTTTCACCATTTTGAGTTTCACTGCAAAGTCTGAAGAAGTGGACTTGGGTCCCCAAAAGCTCACCTTAAAATAGAGCAGTTAGTCTTTAAGGTGCCACAATGTTTCCATCTTCTTTATTTTATTTTGTTTAATTTCATTTTGCTTTTGTTTCATTTCCTGTCTGTTATACAGTGTGTTAAGTTTCTGACAAATGTCTTGTCTGTTTGCTGAAAATTTTGACATCTGCATCATTCAGAGTGGAATAATGGGCCCCAAGGCAGTAATCTGTTCAGTTAGGATTTGTACCTTTTTTTATTTTTTTATGTAAAACTCAAGCCTGCTGGATGATAGTTTTTTTGAAGAAAAAAGAAAAAAGTCTGAAGTGTTCACTTATATAAGAACCCCACACCGTGATGCCACGGGTATAAGACGAGTCATAGAACAGGCCGAATCTCCCTTCTCTGAGGAGCACTCCTGGCAGAGGATTGATTTGAGCGAGATGGGCAGCCAGGCTTTCCCCTGTTTGATCAAATTCTCCATTGGGGTTTGAAAGGAACCTCCTCGAGAGGAGCGATCCGGCTCCTGTGAAAGGCTCCACTGATCCAGAGCTTGCAAAAGCAGCACAACCGTCGCTTTCCCAGGTGGGAGGGTCCTTGTAGCAAGCCGAGGGGGTAGAAGGTGGGATTGGTCTGCAAGGGGAAGGAAGGGGGCGCCTTTGCCGCTGAAAGACACCGAGGGCTGAGAAAGCCTTTCTCAAGTGACACTGACTGAGAGGAGGGGAAGGAGGGAGGAGAACGTCTCCGTAACATGTTTATGGATTCCTTTCCAGATACTTAGCTTACCGCAATTTCATGATCGATACCTATCGCTTAAACCCTCAAGAGTACTTGACGAGCACGGCCTGCAGGAGGAACTTGACTGGAGACGTCTGTGCAGTGATGAGGTACTTCTTGCCTGCCCTTGCCTACAGAGGAAAGAAGGTGAAACCCAGCAAATTGCCCAGCTTTCTCAGTAGTGCCTGCCGTGAGAAAATGGTGGCAGGAGAAGGGGAGAGGGGCACAAGGGTCTGCAAGGTGGATGGTGTCAGATCGTGTGTTGAGGTGCACAAACACGCATGTCTGTGATCCCTCTCCTGCCCTTTTTCTATCTGCTGAGCTGGAAGAACATCCATGCACAAAAGATCTTCATGGGAAAAGCACAGGCTGTTCTTTCTGCTGTGCTGTGGCCTTTTCCACAGAGTATTTCTTAATACGGTGCTGGTCGTGACCTTCCAGACTCATGCCTAGCTGACATCAGCTCCAAGGCCAGGTCAGAGGGCAGGGCACTCAGTCTAGGAATAATGGGCTGATTGGAAAGAGAGGGGCCCTCCGATGGGATCTGCCCGCCTCTTCCCCACCCACGATGGGTGCAGACACGCTCCCAAAGGTGTGCCAAAACAATGGCACTGCTGGTACCCACCGCGTCTCCGAGGGGAGGGCATTCCACAGGATGCTCCGGCAGGAAAAGGGCTTCCCCCTAACGGTCTGTACCCAGGGGCAGGACACCATCATCTTGGTGATCACAGAGTCCTAGCATGACAGAGTAGGAAGGGACCTCTACGTCCATCTAGTCCAAGCCCCTGTTCCGTGCAGGAATCCACGTCAAAGCAGATCTGACAGAGGGTGGTCCCGTTTTCTTTCAAGTCTTTGAAGAATGCTATCCCGTCATCTCCCCTCCGTCTTCTTTTCTCAAAGTTAAACATGCCCTGTTCTTTCAGTCTTTCCTCATAGGGCAAATTTATGTCCTTCAGCTATTCAGGTCCCAAATTGTTCAGGGCTATGTGTGTCGCCATGAACGCCTTGAACTCAGGCCAGAAGCATATTGGCAGCCAGGACAGATCCTTCACATGGGTTCTGAAGGATGTTCCTGTTAGCAATCGGGCTGCTGCCTGCTGCACCTATTGTAGTGTATGCACCATCTTCAAGGGTAGCTCTACATAGACTGCACTGCAGTAGTCTAACTGGGGGGGGTGAGGGTGGGGGAGTTACCAAGTCATCAGCTACTGTGGCCAGGTTCTAGATCAGAGATGCAGCACTTTTTGGGCCCTGCTTCTGATGATGTTTAGAGGTTACACCTATGTATGCATACACAACCATTGCAGAAGCCAAATTTCTTCCATGGAGCTCAAATCAAAGCCATGCTGCAGGGGAACATGGGTGGGATCCTGAAGGCTGTGTGTGCCTACAAGAGGTGCAGAAAAGCAGTTTTACAGCTTTTGTTGAAAATGTGCCAATTCTATTAGATCTTGTTGTCAGCCAAAGATCCTCATCACCTGTGCTAGCACAGACTGCGACGGCTCCCTCTTCTAAAGCATTGCTTTCCTGGCAGTCAAAGCAGTTACTCTACTACAAGGAGGCAGCATCAGTTTTCACTGGGGTAGCCTCTGGGAGTCACAAGTGGGCGGATCTTCTCCCTCTCAGCCTAATGGCCAGGCCAGGCCCTGATAGATAGAGGACAGCATGCAAGGAGAGGTTGCTGAAGTGCCCAATTGCATTCTTTTTTTTGGGTTGCTGGTTGTGCAGACAAGGCCTTTTTTGTGTGCTTCATTGCTGTGGGAATAATGGGGATACAAGCCAGATTGGGAGTTTCCTCGGGCCGCCTCTGACCCTGAGCTCATCACCTCTCAGTTTCCAGTGCCTGTTGTATTCTTCTGGTGCAATTCTGCTTGTAGTTCTCATGATTTTCCCACCATTCTTTCTCTCTTGTGATGCCGCCCAGGGTGCATGCTTTTCTGGAGCAGTGGGGACTCATTAATTACCAGGTGGATCCAGAAAGCCGGCCCATGGCCATGGGTCCCCCTCCCACCCCTCATTTCAACGTGCTTGCCGACACACCCTCGGGACTTGTGCCGCTTCACTTACGTACAGCTCAGGTAAGCATCCTGCTCATCTAAACATAATTTGTGGGTGCCATTTGTGGCACCTTGAATCAAACCAGTGTATCCCATTATGCACAGTCTGTGTGGTGAGAGGTTTTTGTAAAATCACACTTTGCAGCACCCATCAGTCCCTTGTGGGACTAGTTCTTACCGACTGGTAT